TGCGAACTCTCGATGCTGGTTTGCGTAGGTGGTAAAGAGAAGAAATCGAGTTCGCTCTTTATACACTCGCTTGAGTGGGTATGAAGAAAGGACATGCTTTTTCTCCAGTCACGAATTGCTATCTCGATTAAGAGAATATGTCGGATACGTCGTGTTTCTTGACTCGATGTTTCCTAGTGGATGGTTTTTTGGTTTTTCTTCCTGCAGCGCGAATTTTCTTTTTCTTCTTCGTCACTTTTTTGCTCTTCTTCCCTGTGCTACTTCTCGATGATTTTTTTTTTACCGCCCGACGTCGTTTACGAAGCGCGATACGACTATTCCGACCTCCGAATGGAAACTGAAGTGCTGCGGACTTTGCGGATACTTTATATCCCGACCCCCTGGGGTCGTCATCAGGGAACTTATATTTTCTTTGGCTTTTCTCTTCAGATTACCCCTAGATTCCGCGAGCCGACTTTTGACCGCTTCCTTCAGCGGCTTATTATTTTCGACGTCTTCTATTACGTTAATTCCCGCACGTAAAGCTTCTTTTCCGACGGCACGTGCACCTTTACCTAGGTAAGGTAATATTTTTCTGAATAGACCACCGAGAAAGCTTCCGATTCCATGTCCGCGTTGATAGGGCGAACCGACGAAAACACGTGGAATTCTACCTCGGCCCACCATGTCCCGCGCATCGAAATACTCCTCATACTCCATAGCTAGTTTCTAACTAAAAACTGTCGCTATACCGACACGCTCGCGTATACGAAAGAAAAGTTATTGCTTACGTTTAAAGTGCAGCGTCACTGTCAGCGTTCCGAATTCGAATGGAATTTTTTTTCCAAGATGATCTCTTATATCTATTTCGATCGTTCTGAAATTCGTTCGTCGCAATGGGATTTCGAGCGATGTTATTTTTATAGAGAACGATATCCTCGGTTTCCTCGTATTCCCGAAGATATCGCTCCTTAGCTTCGTCATCCACGCATTCGTTTGGCCATCCGCTAGCTTCCTGCTTCAATTGCAAAAAACTATTGATATATCCGGTAAACAATCCACCCTGCCGCGTATCGGGATCGTATCGCGTGACCTTGTATTGCCAAATTTCTCTCACTTCCGACACGCGATAACCTTTCTCGACGGCTTTGCGTAATTCACAGGATACCCAGGTACCCTCGAATTCACGCTCGGCGAGACTGTGAGTACACTC